CGCTTTTTGCGAGCCAATTGCGAGAAGTCGGAAATCGAAAGTGGCTGAAACTGCTGACGACGATAATGAACATTATTATGGATAGATGTGTCGTGTCAAACTTAATTGAGATGTCGTGATAGAGAGCGAAAATCACAATGAATAATTTATTTGCATATGAAGTGAACACTTCGTCGTCTGTATCAATCGACTGTGAGTTGGCCAAGGTCGCGCTCGACCATACTTGTGCTTCTCGATTGTTCTAGCTTTCGCGTCGCTTCGAGAAGATTCCTATCGGCTTCCATTACGATATATAAACCCTACCAACAGGCATATAGGCAAGTCTAGTTGAAAATGCGATACGAAGTAAGGCGACAGACATTTGAGTATTAATCTGAAAATCAGTTAAAGTTTTAGTATCATAATAGCAGTGTAGTAGTAAAATAAAGTTGAGTTTGAACATACAGTGTAGTTAATTATTGTTGAACCTACAGAAAAAAGTAGTCACGTGACTAGTGTTTTTATTTTTGTGATAACTTTAGAGCAGTGTGACTGATTGGCTGCTGAGTTCTGTTAAATATGTGATATGGAATAGTAAAAGACTTTTGGTTGCTTGTATTCTATGAATGCTAACATAAACGATAAAATCGCATTTTTATTTCCTTTGTTTTACATCAGGAACAAAAGGCAGAGTTGATATTTTCAGGTGTTTGAACATATGTCAGTAGCGATCTCTAGAGTCTGACTCAACCTGAAATCCAAACGACTTTATTTTGTATTTTGAATATTCTTCCAATGTCTACGGAGTTTCCTTAAAGCAAAAGACCATAAGATAAAATATAATAAAAATTGATGTGATAAGAAGTTTATACCACATCTTGAATAGTGAATTCAATTTGGTTTTTTTACTTGATACACAACTTTATTCAGTTTATTTGCTACATGATTGATATGGTTTCGTTTCAAAGTGGATGCCCAGGAGTTTGTTGCTTTGACGTCGGACCTGATTCATAAAAGTCAAGTTGTCTGTTATTTGCTGAAAACCAGCCAGATGCTTGCTTAAATGTTTCTTCAATTTTGATGGATGAATCTGATCGATTTCACCTCACATTAAATATTGTCGTGACCCTGTAACGTCTCCCAAATATCTTGAAAGATCATTGATGAAAATTATGGAAACTGCGGGTCCTAAAATAGATCATTGTAGAACTTCAAAAGTTATCGGGGTACCTGTTGATATCGTCTGTTTGGATATAAGACAATCAACTGCAGTGGTATGTTATTGACTTCATAAAATTCTGAATTGTTCAAAATCAGATGCCTTTGATAGGTCTAACATAGTAGCACATGGATACAGGTTTACGTCGATTGCTTTTATGAGTTTTCCATAGTAGAAATGAGTGTCTTTGTTGTTGATTCATTTATTTATAACCATACTCTTCATTGGTGAAGAGCTGGTTATTTTTGAAGTATGATATGTTTCGTGAGTTCAGTTAAACATTAAAAAAACTGGAAGAACTGGGATCAATGTGAATGAGTTGACGTCACCATTATCCATTGTTTCCAAACGGGTGATTTTTTAGGAGGTGTAGGAATGCATTTTCAAAACAACACGAAACATTTGAAAAAATTGATGAAACCCTATTTGAATAGATAGAAAGATCAATATAATTTAATGTTTGAAGATACTTTCATGCAAATGTTGTCCGCGGCTCCGCTTTAGAAGGCCCATGCGGTATTTCACGTATGAATGCTTCAATATTGGCTTCCAGAGCGGCAGTCGTTGCTGGTTTATCCCTATAGATATGAGCCTTGACATGACCCCACAAGAAATAATCCAAAAGGCGTTAAATCACATGATCTAGGAGGCCAATTGACGGGCCCCAAACGTGAGATAAACTGTTCACCGAAGGCGGCTCTTAATTGGGTCATTGTTTCGCGTGCCGTGTGGCATATGGCACCGTCTTGTTGGAACCAGATGTCAGGCATGTCCAATTCTTTCATTTTGGGCAACAAAAAGTGAAGTCGTCAATCATCACACGGTAGCGCTCGCCATTCAGACTACGTTCCGGCCATTGTCATCTTTGAAGAAGTACGGCCCGATGATAATCTACACCACACAGTGACTTTTTCGGGATGCATCGGTAGCTCACGCAATGCTTGTAGCTGGTCTTCACTACAGCTGTGGCAATTTTGCTTGTTAACGTATCCATTCAACCAGAAATGAGCCTCGTCGCTGAACACAATTTTTCGATAAAAATGTGGATCTTCCTCCAATTTTGCCAGGTCCCATTCACCGAATGTTAGACCTTGTGAGAGGTCGTGTGGCTTCAATTCTTGCACCAGCTGTGTCTTATAAGGTTTCACACCCAAATCTTTTCGCAAAACTTTCCACGTAGTGGAGTAACAGAGGCCCAATTGCTGCGAACGGCGGCGAATCGACATTTCACGGTCATCACGAACACTGGCGAATACAGCCGCAATATTTTCTTCGGTCCTCACTCTACGTATGCGTGTTGGTGGTTTAATGCCCAATAATGTAAACTGGGTTCGAAATTTAGTCACAAGCTTCCGAATAGCTTTCTCTCTCTCATCTTGGAAAATACCTCGCTCTAAACATTTATTGAATAATATAACTCAAAATTTGAGGCAGTCCATCAGACATGAATATGATAACCTTCACATTTAATCCATTAATATCTCTAGTGTGAGAGATTTTCAGATCGAATAATGGATTTGATCCGAAAGTAATCAAATCTCTGAAAAACACTGAAAGACTTCATTAACAACAACGCGAAAAGTGTGATAAGTGCATTATTATATGAATAATACTCACAGTCGGTCTGTATTTACCTCAGTCATACCTTCTACTATTTTAGTAACAAAATCTTCATGTTTAACTTAGTGTTAATTATATTTTAACTTATATTGTTTGTTGTCATATCTATATAATGTAATTTATCCATTCATTTTATTTGTTTATTCATCTATGTGTCATTTGGGCTGAAAACTCCCAGATCTATGAAAGAAAACGGGATTTTCTTGTTCAAAAGAGCCACATAATCAATCCTGTGCCGCTCTAACATTTCAATACAACTTTTGTAGAACGATTTATTTTTTGCCTCAAAACGTTTCAGCAATAACCTTTCAATTCGAGCAAAATTTCTGACCGGTGAGCATTTTTTTGAGGTCTGCGAATAGCCAGTAGTCGCTGGGAGCCAAATCTGGCGAATACGCTGGATGTTTCGATTGACTTGTGACACGATGCGTCGTCTTGATGAAATAAAATTGTGTTCTTTGCTATATGCGGAGTCATTATGACACTTTTCAAGCCATTGCTTCGTTTGGATGGTATTTTTAAGATGAAGAAGCAGTGTAAAATCAAAACACGAAATTGTTTTTGATCCATTGTTTTGAAAATAACAAACGTTGTGTCACTCTTAGCACAATAACTCACGAACTTATCACTAGAAAATCATGAAATTTCAACAGATTTCTTTCGAAGGTTATTATCAACTGAAAAAGCGGTGACTACAAATGACTAGTGCCGAAACTTTTCTGCCCAGGTAGTATTGTGTATTCATTCATGTTTTTACTTTGTACTAGGCAAAATCACACACAAGAAACATTTTTTTCAAACAATTTTTTCAAAAATGTTTCTTTTGTGATGTCTCTGTTTTTTCACCGTGCTATTTTGAATAATGAGTGGTTTTTTGCTTGTATCTTTTTGGCAACACTGTTTTTGACAGATCACGCGTGAATCGTGTCTTGTGTCATTGTCAAACTTGTTCAGTTTGGTCTATAATTTAATCATGAATCGACTTACGAATGAACAACGCTTGCAAAAATTTTGCGATAGGATTTGGGTGTAAAACCTTATAAGATACAGCTGGGTCAAGAATTGAAGCCACACGACCTCCCACAACGTCTAACATTTGGTGAATGGGCCCTGGCAAAGTTAAAGTGTGTTCAGCGACGAGTCTGGTTATGGGTCGGTGGCATCATCGGGCCGTACTTCTTCAAAGACGAGAATGGCCGGAACGTAACTGTGAATGCCGAGCGCTCCCGTGTGATGATTGACGACTTTTTGTTGGCCGACATGCCTGACATGTGGTTTCAACAAGACGGTGCCATAAGCCACACGGCACGCGAAACAATGACCCAACAAGGAGTCGCCTTCGGTGAACAGTTTATCTCACGTTTGGGGCCCGTCAATTGGCCGCCTAGATCGTGTGATTTAACGCCTTTGGATTATTTCTTGTGGGGTCATGTTAAGGCTCATGTCTACAGGGATAAACCAGCAACGATTGACGCTCTGGAAGTCAATATTGAAGCATTTATACGTGAAATACCGGTCGATTGTTAGAGAGAGTGTGTCAAAATTGGACCTTGCGCATGGGCCATCTAAAGCGGAGCCGCGGACAACATTTGCATGAAATCATCCTTAAACATTAGTATCCTTATTTCGTAAATAAATTTTCTATATTCCTTATAATTTCATTATCTGTGGGAGGGGTAACTAATAAGGAGGTATGATTATTTTTTTGAGCATTGCATAATATTTTTGTCACTTTCGGGAATTGAATTAACGATGTGTATCCCAACACTGAGAAACAAGTTATTGTTATTCTCTGCAGAAATTCTAGTTTCCTTAATGCTATTGTGTTTTCCAATCTGTGATTTTTTCAGGTCTGAAACTGTAATTTTTTCAGGTCTAAAATTGCTTTTGATGTATCATTGGAGTTTTCTACAGAATACGGATTGAAAACAATAATTGAAAATTATTATTTTTTCTCGAAATTTCTATATTGAAATCGAAGTGAATTTGCTCGCTAGCAAGAAATAAATCCAAAAATTTGACGCACGGACAAATCTACTACAATTTACTGGAACTAAAGAACAGTACCGTACGCACAAAGAACGTTTCTCATCAGCAACACTCGAACTACATCGAGGGAGGCTATAAAGAACTATCGCTCGGCGAATCCAGTTAGTACTATTATAATCTCCGGCCGGCGCATTCCTACGAAAAATGCATACAACACTCGTGATCGTTACTCTCATCACCGTTAACGCGGCTAATATCTACCAGGAATGCGCAAGACTATACAACCCAAACAATTACATGGTCCACCTACCCTCCCTGAGCTTACCCTACTTGGGCGACGTGCCCATCCCTAATAATATGCCGGCGATCAGCCCGTCGCCGGTGGTGAAAACGAAAGCTATCAAGGTGGTGACGAAGTATATTTACAAAAATCCAGTTTGTGTGAAGTATACCAAGAAAAAAGGGATGTGCAAGCAGGATAATGGTGTCAAGCAGAAGGATAACTTTGAGCAGCTGGTGACCAAGGAGTATTTTGTGAGGGACAGGAAGCATGATTTCGTGGGGGGCAATAATCGACATCGGAGAGGGAATTGGGAAGAAGGCAGAGAAAAGGGTACGGGGCTAAGTGATAACAACAGGTGAGAAGACAATTTTTTGGGTGTTAGGTGTAGAAGCCATAGCTCAGTTTGTTAGGGTGCTTAGTTGTGTGAAGGTTCGACGACTGTCTAAGTTAAAGGAGATTCTTTTATAATTTTCGGGTATGCAGTTGATAAGGGGATGGTAAAATAAGTGAACTCTTTTTTCTGTTCTAGCTTTCGAGTCTTTATTGGCTCTTCATCAGGAACTCTACAATGAATTGATAATTGATTTTAATATTTATTTGCACTTAAATGAAATA